AAAGTGGATTACTGGAGTGCGATACATCAAGTAAGTGAATTTTACATTAATTGTTGAAGTGAACGAAAATAGATGTGCAGGCTTGGAAAGTGGTCTGACAGACTCCTTTTGCAGAATAACGTATTTATACTAGTTGTTTTACGAGTCTCTGAGACAGCCATTTAGAGAAATACAGTAGAAAAAATCGGGCCGATTGTTGCTTCGCTTTGACGTCGAGAATCAGGCGATCAGGTCTTCAAGCGAGATGCCCTTCGACCTGTTCCGGCACTCGTAGTTTTAGACGTGCATTTGGTTGCGACCGCGCGCGCCGTTCGGCACGCGCGGTCGCAACCAAAACCTTTAAAGCATGCAAGTTTTCAAATAGTGGATTTTCGTAGAACAAATTTTTGTTTGTTTTGGCTACCAAATTTAATGCTGAGTCTGGTAACAAATGTGACGGCGTGAAGAAAACAGGATGCAAAATTTTGTTTTTCTAGGAAAAGCTCGTGCGAAGCGTGAATATCATTCTCACACGCACACTTTTTTGCCTGTCGCCTTTTTACACCAGGCTTGTGCACTGTTCTCTAGCACGCAGAGTTTGGTTCTAATTGCCCACATTTTATTCTAGTGTCGTGGGGGCGTCGGGAGAAGAGGACGGTCGAGCGAGGCGCGAGCGGGGGCCAGGGGCCAGCCGGCGAGGAAAGAGGAAGAGCCTGCTGCACGAGGCTGGAGCCGGGCAGGAACGATAGAGCCGTTCTGGCTGGTCCGGCTCATGTCGATCCAGCAAACTTCTGATCAGGACCGGCGGAAACGGCGAGCCTGGCCTTGTAGGCCTCGGCCATGACGGTCCAGGATTGGTTCCGCAGCGAAACTCGGGCTGTGATAGCCCGGAACAGCTAGCGTACGCAGTGCGTGGGAAGGACGATCCGCAGGCGTGAACACGGACTGTGACTGCGAGCTATGAACGACAGGTGACAACAAGGGTCGGCGGGTCCGGACTGCCGGCTCTCGAAGACGGGCAACCGGAAAGTACAGTAAACCCATTCGCTGCCTTCTCGTTGTGTTGTGTCACTTCCTGGGAGACGAGCGAAGCACAGACCGATCGGGCGGCGATTATTATAGAGCGACCCCGCAAGTGCACCAAGACAGTTCAAACTGGTGTCCAAATGACAACTCCAGATTATGCTCTAAACACTTCGACCTATCAGGGCTCCCGATGGTCTGAAAAAACCGCATAAAATAAACAGGGACATGGCGCGCACGTGCACACGGGGACTGCTGAAATCGGAGTCGCCGCCGCTCGCCACGGCCCGACGGGCAGACTGGCCGACCCATTAACACACACACCTCCGCTTGTGGCGCTGAATGCAGCACTCTCGTGGCGCCGCCTGGCCATTGCCGGCTGGCTATCATGCACTTGCGCCATCTTGCCCCAAACGACACTTAAAAGCTTGATATCGCGCAATGTCAGAGACCTCACTCGAAGCTTCGATCGATCATGACACCGCCTTTGTTACACTTCCTGAGTTATGACTCATTTGCGAAAGGTACGTTGAGTTGCGCGGAAAAATAAAATCCCGGGTGCTGATGAGGACCATGCGAGTCATTTAATTTTATTGCAGCCGAGCGAACGTTATAGTTGACGCAATCATACAATTCTGTGCCCACTGACACCAACTTGACAACAGGAGCCGAAGTCCACATGAGCCTTTCCATGCCACAGAGAGAGGAGCGCTTGCCCAACTCCGACGTTACCGCGCCGCCTCGAGGCGCCGTCAGTCCGTTGGCGTCTCGCCGTCTGCCGGGAAGCGAAGAGCGAACGCCGAGGAGAGACGAAAGCAAACCCCCCCCCCCCCCCCCCTCCCCCATACCCCCTCTCAGTCTTGGGCAGTAACTAGTTACTAGTAACGCGTTACCGGTAACTAGTTACTTTTTTCGGTAACTTTTAACTGTAACGCGTTACTCTTTAATACTGGTAACTTGTAACTGTAACACTGTTACTTTTTTATTGGGTAACTGTAACTGTTTAGGCCGTTACAGTTACTTTTTACTATAAAATTAAAATTCCTGGCTGACAAAAAAAAAAAGAAATTGAACAAACAAAAAAAATTGCCTCGTTTTGCCCACGACGGACCATAGACGAGACGGACGAGCGAGCACGAAACCGGGAGATTAAGGAAGCGGCGCCTGCGGTGGTAGGGGAGGCAAACAATGTGTGTTTCACCGACTTTGGCTCAATCTTCTTCTGTGGGGACCGTCTGCGGGTGTCGGTGGTCATGCGACATGTCTCCGAGTATTCCGTCTGGGCTGTGTCTGCCCTTCCCCCTCTCCCTTCCTCTTTGTCAGATATGTCCGCGCTGTACGTCGCTTTTACACCCAGCCGGTCGCCGCTCCCTCTTCGCTATGAGTTTCCAAGGAAGCCGTCCCCATATTAGGCGGAAAGTCGGCGCTTGTTTAACTTATTCTTTCTCTTCGGAACCGCTCGAGTAAATTGCCTTTCCCGCTGACAGCCCCAAGAAATACTCCAATAGACGTTTTGTTGTGGATTCTCTGCAGTGCTCCAGCTGAAGCGATTACCCGGAAAACACGTGTTTTTAAGAGAGAGAAATTGCTGTTTTGAGGCGCGTGTGCGGACTGATCTTCCACAGTTGGCGTTTGAGACAGAGGCGCCGCGGTGGTCGTCGTACACACGTAGAGCACCAGAAGGCCTCACTTTGTCTCCTTTCCCCCTATATTCTTCCAAAGCTGTTTGACCTGCTATATTTAAGCCTGCTTTCGAGTATATCCCATAAGGTAATTATGTGACCATCTGTGTCCTCTTTGGTTTCGGAGTGAAAAATAAACGAAAATGTTCACTGACGCGGGAGGTCCATCTAACGCAACGTATGTCCGAAAGCTTGTACCCTGTCGCCTATTGGTGAAAACTTTTGGGGGCTGAGCCACGTGCGGGAATGCGATTGGTTTGCGCAGAGGCCAGTTTAACCAGACGGTTCAAAAATGGCCACTATTCTTCAGCTATCACTTGTCAGTTTATTGGGAAATCTCAAGCAGAGGTTACTGTGCGCGTTCAGCCTGTTTATTCTTGATAGCGCTCAAGCCATCCTGACAGGCAGTCATGTCTTCCGACACGGAGCAGCCGTTACCTTGGCCCTCGTATCGCGAATATTTTTCTGTTCTGACAACGACTGCGACAAACATCACAGTGCTGTGCAACATTTGCAGTAAACAGTACTCAGCAAGCAGGACGTCTTCGTCCAACCTGCGCAAGCATCTAGAGGTATGTTTAAGCTTTCTATTCTTGGGAACTCCGGTTTCTTATGGCTCATTTGGCGTTATGAATTGTGCTGACGATGGGGAAATATATCCATATCATTAAATTGTGCTCTTTTCTTTCTTTTTTTTTTTTTTTTTGCGCAGAAGAAACATCCTGTCGCTCTGAAGGAATTCGACTCTAAGAAAAGGAAAGCCGACCTTCGGTTTTAATGTTTTCTAATTTCTCAGCAGTTCATCTTTCTTCTCACTACAGTGTAACAAATAAAATATTTTTTTTGGTTTATGGTTTCTTGTGTCCAATTTTGGTACTGTAACGAGAAAGTAACGGCGTTACTCTTTCTGCGGTAACTGTAACTGTAACACGTTACTTTTTTAATCCGATAACTGTAACTGTAACAGAGTTACTTTTTCCCCCTAGGTAACTGTAACTGTAACACTGTTACTTTTTACTGGTAACGTGCCCATGACTGCCCCCTCTGCCCTCTACAGCTGGTTGAGAGATTGCGGAGGGCGGTGGCAAAGAGGAGCCTGCAAGAACAAGCACCTCTCCCCCTCCTCCGCCCTCCACAGGAACCGGTGCGCTTACATGGCGAAGGAGCAGGCGAGCGACACCCAAACCAACCCTGAAGGCCTGAACCCCACGCAGTAGTTGCGAAGCGAGAGTCTCCTCGCCCACTAAGACTGCTCAGACGGCCCGGGAGCTCACGTGACCAACCCAGCTAATACCAGCGCTCACCGCGACTCATCATGGCCATGGTCCTCAGGCTCACGTAATCACGCAGACTAATGCGATCACCGGACTCATATCCATTCTAAGACTCGCGTCTTGATTCAGGCTCATGCTCATGAGCCTCGAAACTCACAATCACACTCAAGAGACCTCAAAACTCACTCATGAGTACTTGACTTAGCGCTCAAGCTCACACTCACACTCAAGAGTTTTAAGAACTTACAATCACACTCACGATCAAACTCACGCTCATGAGTTCGCAGGGCTTACACTCGCACTCACACTCATTAGTTCCCAGAACTCGCGATCACACTCACGGTCAGACTCACGCTCGTCAGTTCTCAGGACTCACACTCACACTCGCACTCATGAGTTCACGTAACTCACGATCACACTCACACTCACACTCACAATTTTTCGAGACTCGCGGCCTCACTCACGATCACCTCACATCTTACGGTGAGCGTGAGTGATCGTGAGTGATCGCACTCATGAGTGAGAATGCCGAGGTATGTATATAATACAAAAAAAAAGACGTTTTCTTTTTTACAGAGCTGACGGATTGTAATGATAATAAATTGATATATGTTACGCATAATCCAACAGCCTCCATATAAAAAGAAAAAAAAAATCGGTGAGCTTTTCTTCGCATACGCTCAATGGCCGGTGAGCTTTTCTCCGCATCCACTGGTTTTGCGGTGAGCTTTTCTCCGGTGAGCTTTTCCCCCGGTTTCGAGTTTGAGATCCCATTCCAGCCTAGGTTTCAAAACTCATCGATCGGAAAGAAGTTTTATATAAACCATGATGTTGACAATAAAAGAGTGGGCAACATAGACGCCCTGAAAAAACTGCGTTCGTGTACAAATGCGAACCGAATTGGATTCAAAAATACCGCCAAAAATTTAGGAAATGTAAATGCTCTTGGCTAGGCGGCGCAACATGACGACCAATACGAAAGACAAGCTCACTCACAATTATTTATCTATGTAAATGGAAAGTTCGATCCAATCCGACGTCCGACAATCCGACCAAAGCCACTGCAGTGGCGTGGAAGAAAACCGGTCAACTGCGTCATCGTTGCTCGTTCATTAGAGGTTCTGTTGGTTCATTCGGAACGACGCCATTGTCGCTCATCGAGCAAGTCTACGCGGTTCGTCCGTGTGCTAGCTGCTGATCAAATTCCCACAGGTGAGGAACTCTGCCGCTGCTTCTGAACATCTTACCGCACCGTGCGCGATATTAGGACGTAGTGGTCGACTTCGAGAGACGCCCGCAGTACCGTCTCCCCGGTGTGACGCTGTCCTTTGTTGCTAAGCCTAATCTTGTTCGAGGCCGCGATGTTCTTGAACTGCGTACTTCTCACTACGTGCGTTGTTAAGAGAATAAGTGAGCCGTAAAGTGTTGTCGGAACTCTGGTGATTTGAATTCGTTTGTATGAGGGCGCGAAATTCTGGTTTTCGGAGACGTGTCGTGTCGTGCGTGAACACTCGTTTGCGCGGCGTAGCCATGATGTGGGGTGGGTGACGCCGCCATGCTTTTTGTCTTCGCCACATGTTAGTTGGACGTGGAACGGGCGGTGGTGGATATTTTCGCGAGTTTCTTCGTGTGTTGGGGCGTCGGTGGTGTGCCTGCGTTTCGTAGAAATGTGCAGTACCGCAGCGCTCACGTGCTTTTTTTTTTTTTTTTTCCTTTCTGGTTTCTAGATTTCTCCGCTGTTGCGTCCGCAGTGAACAATGGGACCGGTGAGTGCCTGCCGTGAACCGCTCGTAGCGTGTTCTTCCGGTGCCGTGTGGTCGAGGTGCTCGACCCTGATGAGCAGGACGAAATGGCGATCTTTCGGCAGGGCGCTTCGCTTGCCAGAGATTTAAAAAAATGTTTTCGCAGTTTGTCTGTTTGGGGTTAAGGTTTAGGAATTTCGCAAAAAATTGTACTGCGCAATTTTCCCGAAAATTTTATTAAGGGAGTTCAGTGGAACCTGTTAAGGTTTTCTCGCTTAATTTTTCTAAGTTTATAACAAAAAAACAAAAAAAAAAAACAAAAACAATTTGAGCTTTGTAAAGTCAAGGAAAAAATTTTTGTTTTCTTTTCTAGTTAGTGTGTTCCTGGGCTGGAAGCAGTTTATTGCTTCGCGCCCATAAGTAGTGTTTATGAAGCAACAGTTGCTATGTTCAATTTACCCACATCTGCACCAGGTGTGCAAAATATGAGTGCAGCCAATCTTACGAGACCTACCAAAAAGGCAGATTGCTCGGTGTTAGGCTGGAGCTTGTAAATCGAACGAGCGCACTACCTTCTTTTAATAGGCAACTGCCGGTGGTGTGGACGCCAAATGCCGCTCAGGGACTGCTTATGACTGGAGAGGTTAAAAGTCGGTATTAAGCCTCTTGCGACTGCTTACTTTGATCTACACACGACACAGTAAGCAGTGGCTTACTGTGTCGTGTGGATCTGGATTCTTGCCTGTCCATTTGTGAAGCGGTGTTGGCGGGTGTAGTCGTTGCTTTGCAAGGTAACGGCTGGGCGTCTCGCATTGCAGAGGACCAAGCTGTTTGTGGGCCACCTGCCCGACGGCCTTCGCACAGAGGAGCTGCAGGAGCTCTTTGCCAAGTACGGCACCGTGACAGAGTGCGACGTCATCAACAAGTATGGCTTCGTGGTGAGTGCAAATCCAAATCATTGATTTATGGCAACACAAGTGACCATTTTTCGTAGCATACGTTTGGTCCTGCAAGTACTGTAAAGCCCTTCAGTGTTGTTACATGCAGTTGCAGGGCTACCTGTGGGATGGTGTTGGTAGACCATCAGCTTCCTTAGGTTTCTGGAAACGTGCACTTAGGATGCATTTTCTTTGTGCGGCGTAGCCTCGCTAGGCAGGGGGTGTGTGCTCTGTTGGGCTTCAGCCTTGTCTGTTTGGTGTTGCAGCACATGAGCACTGAGGAGGAGTGTGAGGAGGCCCTCAAGAACCTGAACAACTACAACTTCATGGGTTCCACCCTGTCTGTGGAGGTGAGTTGGGCACTGGGTTCTGACAGGCTGGCTAGGTCTGAAGCGGGAGACTTGATGCATCCATTTTAACTCGCTGTTGGAGAAATGCAACCATGACTAAGGACTGACAAAGCGTCCAATAGGGCACTTTTAAGAATGAGTTTTTTTGGTAGCATTTAGCGGGCAAGGAAGATCAGTCCCAATGCTTCGTGTTCGTGAATTGCATTGCACTCTTTCACTTGTGCGAAGCAATAATTCGATGGGTTTTTGAGCCGATGCTCGTACGAAAATATTGGATGGTGGAGGCATTTTTATACTGCGTTACATAGTATCTTTGTTCATTTATGATTGTGTATGTAAACTTTGATCTATTGATGGTTTACAAATGGGCGTTCTGACCTACATTCCGTTCATTCTCAAGCTGAGATGGCATCCAATTCTAAAAGTGCAAGGCATGAAGTTCCAATTTTTAAACCTACTCCCGCAGAACGACCACCCGTGGTAAAGACTACTAGTCTCGATTGAGAGGAGGTCCCCTCTGGTGTCTACTGGTGTCTTGCTCTTGTATTTGTCATCACTGTATTACGTTGTCTGCTCGGAAGTCTTCCCTTCGGAGAGTGCAAACTTGCAGCTTATGTGGCAATACATGGCTTGCATTGACGTCACATCAGCCGCCATTGTTCCGTACCGTTCTCCTGTACCCGTAAATTCTGAAGCCTATATTTGACACCATTGAATTTGTTTTTCTGGTCAAGACTTGTCGAGAAGAGCAGATTCGATTGTGCCAAATGTATGCCGCAAAAGGCTCCGTACAGGAACCTGGTACGGAGCAATGGCGGCTGGTACAGTGCCATATGACGTCACGTGCAAGGCATGTATGCCCACGAGATGAGGGAAACGAAGATCTGACACTACAGCCTATTCGGCTGCTCGGAAGGTAGTGCGGAGTCGACCCACGTGTTCCTGCGGGTGTCTGCCCTGCCGTGGCTATTGCCCTTCATAACTGTGGGGACAGCGAGGTGGGGTTCTTGCCGGGACGAAGCAACTTGCCCCTGCCGGGGTTTCGACCCCTTGGTGGGGCATGGGGTTGGCCCGGACCCCTACAAATGTGGCTTGCGCTCGTTTTCGACCGGGAAGAGTTTAAACGATTGCCATGCAAGCGGCATTGCCCGTGTTTTTAAGAACTTGTCCGTTGTTCCCTTAAAGGGCAGTTCACACACTTGTGTTGAGTCAGATAGAGTACTGGGGTTGCTATGGCAACAGCTGCATCGGCTCCAACAAAACCGGTTTTCACAGTTTCGTTGGAGCCGCATACATTACAGTATTGTGATATGGATATTCGTGCTAAATTTAGCGAGCAGATAAGACGTGACTTTTTCTTCACTTACTGGAGTAACTGCTTCATGCCTGATATTGAAACAATAGCTCCTTGAGTACCACATTCCGGACATATTTTGAAATGAGGGTTATTATTAATATTATTATCCGTTAAAGGGCTGCCGGCAATTTTCTCTTGTGCGTGCAGCGTTCGACGAGCAAGTTCCACCAGGAACCAGGTGCCCCTGGACGTGCGAAGGGAGGCCCCAGGTTAGAGTGTGTAACCCTTTCTGATTCTCCAGTTCTTGCATGATGCTGCATGACCCTGTCTTAATCTTGAACCAGTTTTTAGGGGAGCCTATGTCAGGAAAGGCTAAGTAAAGGCCTAGTCACACTGGAGCATTTGCCCGTTTCCCTGCATCACATTTAGTCGTCAAATATATCTTGTGTGCAAGGCTAGTCGTACAACATATGTACCATCTTCACTTGAAGCGCAAATTTGTGACTCCCGACGTAGGCTCTCTAACGTAAGCAAATGACCTTGTTCGAACGGGTCCTGGCATGGAAGTGATGGTTCATGCGTCCCTCTTCCCTCCGATTGGATGGCAAAAGCGTTGCCGTAACAGCAAGTGGCATTTGCTGTGCAACGTAGTACAAACGCCGAGTATTGGGTACCGATCTTGGGAGCAATACTTTGCTGCATCTTCGTGCCTCGTTGCCCGTTCGGGGGGGGCCAAGATGGCACTCTTCCCTCTAGATTGATTGTGTGAACTTCGGTTTGCTCAGGCCTCCCTACGGTGGCCAGCGTAACGGCTACGAGCCGCGCCCCGCCGGCGGCTACTACAACGGAGGCGGCCCCGGGGCCTACGGGGACTACAGGCGCGGCGGCGCGGACCTGTACGACCGGGGCCCGTACCGGGCCATGGCTGAGCGCCCCCGGCCCTACCCGGTGCCCTACGAGCGCCGCGAGGACCCTTACGCCCCCCGGCGGCCCCCGCCCGGACCCCCCTCCATGGGCCCTGACATGTACGAGCGCCGGCCCTCCCAGGACTACCACTCGCTGTACACCCGCCGGTCGCCGCCCCCTGCCTCGGGGTCGGTTGCGTGGCCGGGGGGCCCTCTTTGGGTGGCCCCCCCTCTTTGGCAGACTTCGCCGGCAGACCTGGGGCGGGCTTTGGGAGCGTCAGTTTCTCGGGACGCAGTCGCGAGCATGGGCGTCCTCTGTGCAGTACCTGGAACGTGTCCATTGCGTCCTCGTTCCAGGCAGCGTACTATCGGGACGCGACGTGCTTGAGGACTGACCCCGGGTCTGCCGGCGGAACCTGGCCGTCAGTCGAGATGCGCCGAGGCTGGGGACGGTGGGCCGCGGGGACGGCCCCTTCTCACGCACTCCTCTCTCCGTCTCTTGCAGGTACAGCTGGGGCGCGGGCTATGGAGCCAGCGACAGGTGAGTGCGCCTTGGCACTAGCCTGCTGTTTGTTGCCATGGGACTCGAGGTGGCCTAGAGGGAGGGTAATCCTGCAGCATTGGATTGGCTGCAATGGCTCGTGACATTTCTCTACAGCCGACCAGTCTCGAGGAGGGTAGTCATCTGTTCTCTATGTTGTCGGTGTAATATTAGGGCTTCACAAACTGTGGTGACAGGTGGAACCTGCGTTTGCGGAGTGTGCTTTTGCCACAAAGGACGACGCGGCCGAATGTCGCTGCACTGCAGTGTTGTCAGATCTGCGTTTCCTTTCTCCAGCAGAATGGGAGGCTACTCCTACGGAGGCTACTAAGGCCCGCCCGCCGCCCGCCCTTCCCCTCAGGTGACTATCTCTTGCCCTCGACGGGTGTTCCATTGGGCGTGGGGGTGTTGCGCTTGAAGGCAGAAGGACGGCCGTGGGTGTGACACCGTTTCGCTTGTTCCCCCCGCAGCGCCGACCTCTCACGTTCCCGCCGCCCGGCCTGTTCCGCTTGCGCTCGGTCCGTGGTTACCGTGCGGCGGCTAGCGCCCTTCGACGCGCCGCTTGCGCCTCTCCGCCGTGCGTCCGCCCGCCCGCCGTGGAAGGGATCTCCGGCACAGGGCAGCCACGCGCTCTCTTCATCCATACTTAACCCGTCTTGCCCCGGGGGAGGGGTGGGCCTCATGTGTCTGTGTGTTGTCTGTCTTCTTGGGGGGGCCATTCGATCGTTTTAAGCGTCTTCTGAGAAATAAACGTCATGATCAGCCAATGCCGTGCCCTGTTGTGTGCCTAGCGGAAAGGGGAAGGACGCCCGTTCGCCACGCTCTCGCGGGCCGTTGGGGGTAGGCTTTCCCGTCCGCTTAGGGAGTGGGGAGGAGACGGGATGTTTTGGGTGGGGCCTGGCCAGGTGCGTCCCCCTGACTGCCTTTTTTTTTTCTGCGGGTCTTTTCTCTAGTCTGGTTTCAGGTGAACGTCGCGGATTTGGTAAGTGCTGGTCTCCCCCCCCACTTTCTCTCTGGCGCGTTTCTGGGCCCGGGTTAGGGACTGCTGTGCTGCCGAGATGGGACCTCTCCGGGCCTGGTTTAGTATCTGCATTCCTTGCAGGTTTTAATTTTTTTACCGAGTTTGTTGAATAAAATCGTTTTGTACAATTGCTTTGCTGGTCTCTGCATCCACTCCTCTAGTGGGTTCTTATTTGCACGTGCAATCTCCACAGCTTTTTTTTTTTTATTACCTACACTGGTGTGCTTGGTCAGTACAGGAACCAAGGTTGGGACTATATTGTCAACGTGATGTGCGATTTAGTGAACTTGCGTGGTCAACACTGCTGCCAGGGATCCTGTGTCCCCCTTGCAAGTACTGTGTTATTGCAACATTGCTCGTTGGTTTTCTACATTGGCCAGCACAAGCGAGGGAAGGCGAAGAGCGAAGTTTTCTAGGTTGCGAGGACCGATAGTCTTCGGAGGTGTGCAATAAGCGAGCGCTCGCTGGTGCCGCACCAGTAAGGTAACAAACGAGAGCGCAGTTTTTTTTTTTTTCTTTTTTTTCTTTCTTGCCTTGAAGATTGTACGAAGAGTAGGGGCGAGAGGAAAATGTGGAATGAGGACTCGTTTGGGCTAGCGTACCCAAACGAGTCCTAAGCACCCACCCTAGTTTGGGCACTACACTGGAGAGCGGGCCGAGCGGGTGCGTGCTCAATCTCCGTTCACAACTGGGAGCTCCGTCTTCGGTACCAGCTTTCTGGCCTTGCCAACACAAGTGTTAACGCTCCACCAAAGCACTGCGGAAGCCACGAAGCCACCGACGAGCTCCCGCTCGCAAAGCAAAGCTTTAGCGCAGTGGTTCTCAAATGGGGGTCCGCGAAGCCCTACCTCATCAGTCGAGTTTGGCTATAAAAGCTTACTTTTTCAGATCAGAAAGAAACGTTCCAATTTTCGGTTCAGTTTTCTCGTCTGCGTGTTAATGCGAGAAGTCTACATCACACTAGCCCTTAGTTATGAATTAACCTATAAATTTCCTTATCTTCTCATCATAAACGGTGTCCTCCAACTCCGCGAAACATCCCTGCTTGAGCAGCTTGAGAACCACTGCTCTAGCCTATGGTCTGCTAAAAGTTTCCGACATGTACAGAGCTAAACGAGTTCATAGTAAAATGTCAATGTACGAAAAAAAAAAAAAAGTTTTAATATTATTATTCAATTACCCTAGACGAGATAGAAAACCAGTGGAGAAAACTATGAAGAATCAAAACGTGGAAGAGGAAGAAATAGGAAAACAACGTCTCGAACACCGCCCGAGTTTCGGGTTATTTCAAGAAATGGTAAAACTACCCCAGCTCGCCTGCGCTCTCATTGTTATTACGTTGCAAAAGGTTGCTGCCGTTGCTGCAGCACTGCTTATCTACCTCGATTTCGCTGCGGGTTAGGTGGCGCAAGTTGCCGCCCAGTTTAAGGTAAGGGTCAGTTGTATGCATCCATCCACAGACTTACGAATAAAATACATGTCCAGTAGTAGCGGTAGCTCGTGGCAAGGCGACCGAAACAACAGCTGATTACTTGTTGGGTGTACGGTGAACTGATTGTTAGCCCCACGCTGGCTAGCTTTGTAACCGTGAAACGAAAAGTTTCCTATCGTATCGCCAAAGCGCGATGCCGTCACTAACCTGCGTTTCTGGGCCATGGACTCGAACGGCGGCCCGTCGCCTGAGCCAACAAGCACGGCCCGACGGCCACGACACCGGCATCCGCGTGTACGACCCCATTGGCCGTGCCAAGGTACCCCTCAAGCTCCAGCACGAGCGCGTCGCCAAGTGGTACTCGTGCGGACCGACCGTGTACGACTCGAGTCACGTCGGCCACGCCTACACTTACCTCCGCACCGACATCATCCGCCGTATCCTCGGCCGCTTCTTCGACGTCGACGTGGTCATGGTGATGGGCATCACCGACATCGACGACAAGATTATCGCGCGCGCCGTTCAGCTGGGTGAGACACCAGAAACGCTGGCACGTCGCTACGAACGTGAATTCCGCGAGGACATCGCCAAGTTGGGCGTCCTCCCGCCTACGTTGTACGCACGCGTGAGCGAGTACGTACCCAGCGTCGTCCGCTTCTGCGAGGTCCTGCGGGACAAGGGGCACGCGTACGCCGCGCCAGATGGCTCGCTCTACTTCGACGTCTCGCAGAGGCCCGACTACGGGCTGTTTCGAGCACCGGGCATGGGATCGTCCATTCCGGTGGTCGGCGTCAAGCGCGACCCCCGCGACTTCGCCCTCTGGAAAGGGGCCAAGCCGGGCGAGCCCCAATGGACGTCTCCGTGGGGGCCAGGCCGCCCCGGCTGGCACATCGAGTGCTCGGCCATGGCGAGCGAGTTGCTCGGAGACTCCGTCGACATCCACACGGGAGGGAGGGACCTGGCGTTCCCGCACCACGAAAACGAGGAAGCCCAGAGCCGCAGCAGGCACGGCAAAAGCCGCTGGGTGCGGCACTGGCTCCACATGGGGCAGGTCATGGTGGCCAAAGGGGGCACCGACGCGGTAAAAATGTCCAAGTCGGCAGGCAACACGTTGCCTTTGCAAACGGTCCTGGAAGACCATTCGGCAGAGACACTCCGTCTGCTGTGTCTGCGCAGCCACTACAGTGCAGATGTCGTGGTGGGACCGGAAGCCCTCCACCAGGCACAGGTCAACCTAAACATGCTCCGCGACTTCTGCGCTAATGCGGGTTCTTACGTCCGTGGCGAGCTTCCTACGAGGGAGTTGAATGAACCGGAGCTGCTGGGACAGCTGGCCTACTTGAAGATTCAGTTACGAGAGGCGATGGCGGACGACTTGGACTACTCCCAAGCGACTGCGCGCGTCCTCAAATTGGCGTCGCGACTCAATGGGCGTCTACAAGGACCTTGCGCGCAGACCAGTGCTGCCGGTGCCTGTCGTGGTGCCATTGCCGCAGCGCTCGTGTTGGTGTCTCGCTTCTTCGGTGACGTGGGCGTCGAACTTGCCACGAGAGACACTCTCGCGAGTGCATCTGAAACAAGCACTGCGCTTGTGGTGGACAGTGTGGTGGCCTTTAGGTCTGCGGTGCGGCAGCATGCCCTGGCTCATAAGGACTCTAGTCGTCCCCTCCTGGAAGCATGTGACAGTCTCAGAGACCAGCTGGCTCTGGAGGGCGTGCAGATCAAGGACAGGGGTAGCCAGTCCTCCACGTGGGACATAGTGCCCGTGGGGGGTAACCGGGGGAAGTCGCAAAAAAAGGAGCAATGAATCGGTTTTGAACTTTTATTGCTGTCTCACTTGTCGATCTCGCCGAGGAACACTTGTTTGTCGCTGGACACCGATAGCACTGTGAAAGAAAGAGGCACAATAGTCAAAATTGGTCACATATTTTGGGCAGCAGCCCCTTTGTACAGGGAAGAAAGTAGACCCAACTCTCCATGCAATTCTTAAATGGGCAGTGCAATGATTTTTGTACGTTGCATAAATACCTTTTAGAAAAAATCCCTGCCATTTATAACCTATGAAACATGCCTTAGTTTTTCTCCTTGTACAATGGTAGTCAAAGGAGAGAAACAAAAACGAGCGGCGTTTTCCCCTCAACTCGCAGCCACAATAAGCGGCCACGTGATCTGCAGCCGAATATATGCCGCCACTGTTTATCATAGTTACAGGCAATGGTAGTGTTCGGCTATGCAAGTTTATCTGTTTCTTGCACAGCGGTTGCAATGATGTCAGAACGCCGAGCTCTTATTGGCCGATTGAAAAAATAGTGGGTAGACCTCAAGGCATCTAACGTTGCAGTGTACCGACTGTCCTCTCAAATCCATTCAAGGCTCGGCATCCTTCTGACGTCGCCGCAACTCCTCTGCAAGACGCAGACGACTTGCTCTCTGCATTGTCATCATTGCAGCGATTGGACACCAGCCACTACCCAAATGCTTATCGAGCTATCGACTGTAGTGAGCCCAAATCGAGCACATGCACGGCTCGATTTGGGTTGTGCACCAACATCAATTTATGTCACCAACGTCGCACGCCGACGTTGGTGCCATCAAGGCACAAAGTGCTTACCAAGCTCATCTGAGCAACACCACCAGTGTTGGGTACACCTAAAGAGTGCCTGAAGTAAAATACAAAGCAAACGAGAGGTCATGTATACTTCAAGTAAAGTAGTAAGTACACTGGGTGCAAAGTACTTTCGAAGTAGTATGCATACTTTTTAACGCAGTCTTTTATGATCACCTATAGACCGACACGCTGTTTACAAACAAGCCCGCGTTTGCCTACACTAGGTGTGGGCACTGCGCATGCGCAGAAACCGAATTCGCGTGAGGTGAAGCGTCTGCCCATGCGCAGTGCCATCGACAGCGCCACCGCCGCTGCGTGACGTCGGGGCCGTGTGTTGGTTTATACTATAGTTTTTTTTTCTTTAAATAGGTATGCATTGTTCCAGAGATAATCGAGGATGCGTTGGTTATTCTCGGAAATGACCCCCAATGACCCAGCAATGAGTCATCTGCTCGCGTTTTTGGAGAGAGTAGAATATACCTCCCAGTATTTCTTTAGGGTTGACAAACCGTCACGTTATGATACGAATTTATTGAGAGCAAATTTGGGGAACATATTTTGAAGTTGAAAGCTGTACTTTCCTCGGAAAGTAAAAAAAGAAAAAGAAAATATAATACTTTAAAGGGCAACTCCGCATCATTTTTGATATTTAGAAAACTATGTAGCCCTCTTCAGTATCATATAGGAAGACCCCATGCAAAATATTACGATCTAATTCCGTTTATATATTTAATAAACTGGCCAGCAAACCTTCAAGCGAGCCAAGTCGCCGAAGTCTGCCAACTCCAGCGTGCGGCGCGAGGCGCAATCACCAGCGCAGTCAATGCCACGGAGATGGAGCGGCCAACGTTGAACCACTACGTCAGAGGCATGACTACGTCATTCTCACGTTTTGTTTGTTTTTACTTCTCAGAGCGAAATTGAACGATGACGTCATGAGTTTCTCCTCCCGGTGTTGGCTGACCGGGCGTTCACGTGATCACTGTAACACGGATGTGCCTGGGATGCGCTGCCCTGCGCGCTTATCGGTCTGTTTTTCCGCTTCTTTTCTCCTCTTTTGCGTTCTCCCCTTCCCCCTCGCCCCCGGGCCATCACCGTCCAGGCTATGCAGAGCGACCTGCCCGCGTCCAAAAAAAAAAAAAGAAATAAAAAAGACCTTGCTCGGTTTCTCGCTTTCTCACGAACGTCACAAGACCACGTGGTTCGACGTGACGTGCCATGACTCTGACGACCCGAGACCAATGTTGCCTGACGCAACCAAAGTTTTGGTTTCAATATCTGCTGATGTTTAAATTAGGATTACACAAATAATATTCCACATTTCGCGAATCCGAAGACGTAGAGTTGTTTAGTAGTGCTTTGTGAATGTGAATCACATGGAAGCCTAAATTTTTCGGAATTGAGCGGAGTTGCCCTTTAAAGGGATACTACAACGAAATTTCGTAGCTCATTTTTTGGTCTATATGTGTTCAAAGGAGCAGTATAACATCAAATACACCAATATCTTGGTAAAAAAAAGTCGCAAAAAAAAAAGGAATTTTACAAGGAATTAAACGATTAGCAAAGAGCACCTGGTGGATGTCGCTAACGCCTCATTTGTAATGCCCGTGTCTGGGAGCCTTGAGAGGTAGTGGTGGCAACTGTCTTGCCTCCGGCCACCACGAGAGAAGAGGGGAAGAAGGAACTCCCATCTTTCCGAGAATCCCTTTTGTGTGACCCAGAAGTCGCTATTGTCCCTCTACAAGGTTACAGAAGATTAACCCGTCACTCAAAATTCGTACAAAAGCAGCTGCTTCGGTGGCTGGAACGACTAGGCCATCCTCTCGACGTCGGCCTTCCCGGAGCTTTGCTCGTCCCGAGACAAACTACGTCCAATTGCGTCGGATGTCACGTGCTCTCTGCTGGCTGCTTTCCAAGCTCTTGCCAGAGTGGGCCGTTTATAACGAAAAATACAGCCACCAGGCTCAAAACACAAACGTGCGATTGTCATCTACAGATATTGTGGATGACGATTGGGGTTCTATGGCGATCACATTCAACCTATTTTTGAACACGACGGGTATATTTCAAATTTCGTTGAAACATCCCTTTGAGCAAAGTTCAAGTACATGCTCGGAGAACATACTTCCAGTAAAGTACATGTTTCTAACTTTACTGGAAGTAGAACTTTGAGAACAATGCACTCAAAGTACTCCCCAACGCTGGTTTCAACTGCTGTTGCAATGATAGTGTGGGAAAGGCAATTTTTCAACTTGTAGCTAACAAACTACAGATGTTTAGTGCACATCTTTTCTGGAGTATTTCTTTTTAGCTCAAGAGGAAGGAGGTAAGGGGGATTACTTTTCCCTACGTGTCCCCGCTGCATACACAAATTCAATTGGTCCAATACAGACCAACACCTGCAAGTTGTAACAATGTGTCTAATAAACTGATGCAAAGAGGAAAAGCAAAAACCAATTAGTTAACTGTTTATACAGCAGGAGTTTAGTCTGCCAGAACATGGCGACACTGTTACCCACTGTAGATGAGCAATTTAACCAGTGCAGCACAACCACTAGCCTGGGGTCTTTAACGTGCACCACACAGTAGTGATACACGACCGCACGCCAGTACGATGCTCATCCAGATTGAAACGGACAGGGGTGGGGATTGAACAGGAAAACAAACATTAACAGGTCAGGAAGGCGAAGCAAAGGGGAGAACGGGAAGAGGAGGCGGCCTCGAGATTGAGGAGGGAGCGCAAGTGTGGCTCCAGTGGGACCGGCTAAGGACTGGCCTTACGAAGCGGATTCGAACCCCGCCCCTCAACCCGACGTCAATGACAAGCGTCAGAAAGAAGCGTCTTGAAGGCAACCGACGGAGCCGTTACCCCACTTCTGCCGAACCCATATTGGCAAGTGGAACTGTGCTAATGAAAATGACTTTTTTTTTATTCCTTCGGCATTAAGTTACTCTTTCTTTTATGATTGCTCCAAACTAAAACCAGAAAAGTGCAAATACAACCTTTACGCAAAAATCAAACGGATGTCTCGGTCAGATGTATTGAGTCATTACAAAGAACCTGATAAAGATGGACCTTTCTTTAGTAAAGAGCAGGGTGTAACATAGACAGGTGGGGAAACGAGAGCCAAATGAGCGACCGGATTGTGTCCCCCTCGGTTTTCTCTTTTTCTGTGGCGCCATCTATGTGGAGCACCGCGAACTCTCACTCCGGGTGGGCGACCGGTAGCGACCGGCTAAACTGACGGAGATGGTTTCTCGTAGATTTTCAATGGAGGACTGTCGTGCTTTCGGTTTATTTTGCGCACTCTCCCATAAAGTTCCATGCAAATCCGATTCCGACTTTTTTTCCTCTCGCCGCAGCGCCATCTGTCGCAAATCGGGGGTACCCGCAAGGAGACGAGTACACAACCCGGTCACGGCGCTGCGGTAGGCTTCTATGGGCCATTTCCCCACCTGTCTATCTTACACCCTGGTAAAGAGCAACGGACAAATCCGCAGGTGGCTCCCAGGGTTTGTTTGTGAACTAGAAATGCAGGGCAGCCCAACATGGCCCCACCCATCAGAACACTTTGGCATCGTGAAGTGGTATCCATTTTCGTTGCTTTTTTACACCCCATACTACCGACATTAAAAAAAAAAGTCAAAGATAAATACGCACAACGATGGGTGCCGCCAATTTTGGTCACGCAAGACGCTGCCCTTCAAAAATGGGGACAACGGGAAAGAAGTCCAGGGGAGAGGGTGTATGCATACGCAGCTTACTGGGAAAAGGTCCATTATAACTTCAAGGTGTTGCTACAACATCTAGGTCTCTTAAAAAAATAATTTCTTGCGGCTTCACTCAGTGACAGTGAACTCTGCTCACTCTCATCTGAGAAAAGCTTGTTTGCATTATTTACCTCCAAATAATGCAAGTAATTCGGGCCATCAAAGTCTTGAAGGGGCACTCAAGTGCTTTTTGTTGAAGTTTGTTTTTGATGGCATATTGTTCCAGATGTACCAGATGGCAAGATGTCCAGAAAACGCGCACTACTTTCAAGGGCGGGGCTGGCCATCCTCGGGTCCCTACCAGCTCCATAAAGTTTGACCAATGAAAATAGTTAATTGCGTAGAGTTTCCAAACGATACTATTATTGCTTTTTTTAGGTGCATTATGCAATAGACCCTTTCCGGAATCCAGTGCCATCTGGTGACTCAAGTGGCAGTTTAACTTTTACCGTATTAATGGCGGCAATGGAACCTGTGGTCTGCAGTATTGTATGGGGTACTGTCACT